TGATGTAAACAACATATTCAAAATATTTTCCTATTTAGAAAAGCATGATTCAGGCCCGATCTTAGAGAAAAGTGTTTTTGCTCAAGCATCATAACGATACGTGAGCATCGACTACAATTAAACACAAATGCAGAATGTCAAACTGCATTTACGTTATGTTATTTTATCCAGCAAAATGTTATTCCATTTCTTTTCTCTGAATAAAGCCCAGAACTCTGAATGTAGTTTTAAAATGCTGCACAGAGCTTTGTGGTCACAAGTCAGCAGTTGAATATGAATTTGACAGACAGAATCTTTTCAAGAGCCTCAATCTTGGAGGAGGATTTGAAGTATTTACTGTAAGGGCAAGCTTCAGTTCTTTCTAAATCCTTGTTTAACCTCAGCACAGAGATCCAGAGACGATCTCTAACAAAACCTACGGAGATCATTTAGCCAGATGAAGATGATGCATGATCCACATCTCATATCTGCACTCCTCATGTGCTTTATCTACTTCATGCAAACTTGTCTACCCATTTTACTCTGGATGCTTTCGAACTTTCATCCTTTTTCTTTTGGCTAAAACAGTAACCGGCAGGTTATAGAGGGAAAAGTATTAAAGGAGACTATTATTTTGTGTCTCTTTGTGACAGTTTCACAGTTAGCACAGCAGAGCCCTGCCGCTGGGTTGGGTCATTACAGCGGCTGCAGAGAATTTGGGAGGAAAGTGAACCTGAGGGACCATTAACATGGTGAGAATATTGACACTATAGGTTCTCATAAATGTATTGGAACTGTCCTAAAATTATTCTTTAAAAATAGGATATTTCATGATTATCAAAGGAAAGCGTTACTGACAGAATGGGATGTTAATGTGAACCAACAAGTGAACAGTTAGTTGTTTTTACTATTTGTAAATGGATTTTGATCACTACTATCTGTTTTGTGTTCTCCGTCGGGGAATCTCCAAGCAGTCCCCTCTCCCCTCCGACACTCTCCAGCACCTCCTTGGAGATCCAAGGTAGTCCCAGGCCAGATGTTATCCCTTCAGTGAGTTTATAGTTCACTCTGGACTCTCCTCTCAGTTGGACGCAGAGGTGTGACCACGTCACTGCTTTGCAAGTCACAAGTAAGTCACAAGTCTTTCCAGTCAAGTCCAAATCAAAGACAACCAAGTCCAAGTCGAGTCCAGTGTCAATGACGTGGAAGTCCATGTCCTTAACCTTGAATTTTCAAGTCATAATCAAGTCATCTGTCCTACTTCTATTTAATGACAATGATGATGAATAAATTCCAGAAATAACATTTCTTAAAGCTTCATTTATTTGTCCAAACAAGCAGAAAGTGCAACTGAAACTGGTTATAAACAAAGTGCTGCTGCATTTAGCAGTACAAGATCAAACCCAGAACGAAGAATGATTTATAATTTTTTTCCATGTCGTGCTACTTTTGTTCTAAAATATCAAATATGCTCAAGTCATCATCAAGTCAACAGATGCAAGTCAATTCAAGTCGCAAGTCATCGACATTCAAGTCTGAGTCAAGTCGTAAGTCTTTATAGATTTTATCAAGTCAAGTCAGAAGTTATTAAAATAATGGCTCGGGTCCACACCTCTGATTGAACGTGCCAAGAAAACTTCCACGGGGTGATACTAACCAAATGCTTGAACCACCTCAGATGTGAGAAATTTACAAAGCTTCTCGAATGACAAGTGAAACGTCTTCCAGAAACCAAAGAGGTCCAGTTGCCTTTATTTGAACCCTTTGGATTACACCATAATCATCTTCATGTGTCTGTCCACAAAACTACATGTTGAAGATTTTGTGATCTAACGGCATCATTTGAGCTCAAACGGATCAACATTTGCTTTAAGAGCCAATCAAATTTTAAAAAGTACAATTCAAAGAGTGTGCTTTTATTAAAGATTGATTTTATACAACGGGTTAGCAAGGTTTAAAGGAAAACGTTCGATGCCCTTGTGCTACTTTGCTCTACAGTGAACAAGAGTTACATCACCCTTGAATCACTCATCTGAAACTAAAAAGAGTCGAAGTAAACACAAAATCTGTGGAATGCAAAACGGCTTTTGGTTTCCACGGTGAATGTTAAAAAGATTAAGGAGCTCACAATGAGTCCGACATTTATATCACTAATTACCCTTATTTGCTTTGTGCTATCTTCAATTGCATTTGTGTGTATAAGGCTGCTTTGAAGACTGGTATTTCAATAAAAGTGCCATCATTACAGAGGAAAAAATGGAGCAACTTTTCATTTTTTAAAGAGAAGTTATCTGAGGCTCAAGTGTCAGAGCAATTGTTCACTTACCTCTCAACGTGTCCTTGAACAAGACGAGAGCAAGACACAGACTGAAAGTTGCAAGCATTGGCAAGGCAGCTGCTAGTAAGACGTGTCTCTGAATCGGTGTGAAAAGATGGAAACATTTATTTGTGTCTTCTGATTCCAGGTAGGAAAACCATTTGTGTGCAGATGCACAACACAACACAATTCCATCATTTCTAATAAAGCAAAAAATATGGTGATAATAAATGACGGTGTCACTATGTAGGGGTTAGGAAACATGTTGTGTTTTGCATTTCCAGCCCTGCTTGAATGCCACAGTTTATGATAATGCACAAAGTTTACTGTCTAGTCTTTCATAAATAAATAAATACGAGCAGGAATCACCTATAAATGAGGTGATGGACGACATTATTTAGCTTGTTTTGACAGGGAACGTAATTGCCATCATTAGTCTCTGTGTCACTAACGTTCTACTTAATTATATATATTTGTGCTTACTCACTACATATCTTTGTTGTAATGTATTCACCTAGACAAGTGTGGACTGGCAGCTGCTGCACAACTGTCAACATCCCCAATTATAAATGAACAACAGTCAAAACAAGCTATTAAATATTTCTGTATTAAACAACTGTTCTTTTTCAGGTGATGTTTGTAAATTATTCCTACCCAGCCAGATTGCATTACAAATGCAAGTCACTTCCTACATTTTTAGTACTTAGTCTTAACAACAATTGTTTTAAACACATTTAAGGTTTTTCTCAAACCCTGGAGAAAAGCAAGATGCTTTATAGTTCAGATGTCTAGAAAATTATCGGTCGGTCAGCTCAGAACACATTATGATCTATTTTTATTGGTTCTACCTTTATTGTGAGTTGATATGTCCTAAAACAAGGGATAAAAAAGCTGATGACATTTCTAAAATACTTATTCATTGCAGTGGGGCAAAAAAGTATTTGGCAGCTGCAAATTGTGCACGTTCTCCCCATCAAAACGATGAAAGAGGTCTGTGAATTTCAAATGTAAAACATAATGTAAAAAAATTAATAAAACACAGGAAGTCACATTGTATGATGTTTTTATAGAATTTGTATATTGGTGCAGATAATATGTATTCGGTCAGTAACAAAAGTTCACTTTAATACTTTCGAATGTAACCTTTGTTGGCAATGACAGAGATCCAACATTTCCTTAATGTCTTCCCCAGATTTGTACCCGTTGTAGCTGGTATTCTGGCCCATTCTTTCCATGCAGATCGTATCTACAACAGTGATGTTTTGGGGTTGTTGCTGGGCAATACAGACTTTCAACCCCCTCCACAGATGCTCTATTGGACTGAGGTCTGGAGACCGACTAGGCCATCCAGAACCTTGAAATGCTTATTAGATAGCAACTCCTTTGTTGCCTGGGTGGTGTGTTTAAGATAATTGTCATGCTGAAATATCTTCAATGCTTTCACTTATTTTTGCCTAAAATCTCACGACACATGGTCCCATTCATTCTTAATACAGATCAGTCATCCTGTCCCCTTTGCAGAAAAGCAGCCCTAACGCATGATGCTTCTCCCACTCGCCCTGTTTGAGGGACACCGTCAGTGATCTTGTATTTATTATAATTTCTAATAATTGCTCCAATACTTGATCTCTTTTCATCAAGCTGCCTGCCTGTTGTCGATTGGCTCATCCCAGGTGCAAATCTAATTCCCCTGTATATTTGATGCCACCATTTTAGATGATATGTACTGTAACATGATATTGTGAATGCCCGGAACATTCACCCGAGACATTCATCCGCTGAGGAAAAAATGGGACCCTTTTTGACGAGTAAAAAGATAAAATCAATGTGACTGACAGAATGGACACAAAGTGTAAACCACTGTGTTTTCAGCTTGATTTTTTGTGTGTGTGGATGATTAAAGACCTTGTAGACTCAGATGGGGTTTAAATCTTATGATGACAGTACAGTTTTGGTCGTGAATCAAATTAACAAGAAGCGTTTTCTAGAAGAAATGGTAAATATTTGACCCATAGACATTTTCAGTGACTGACTTGAGCCATTTTTAACTCCTGATCTCCACATGTGTTCTTGTTTCCTTCAAATCGATCTTATGGTAAATGGTAAAATGGTAAATGGTCTGTATTTGATATAGCGCCTTCTAGAGTCCTGGAACCCCCCAAGGCGCTTTACAACACAATCAGTTATTCACCCATTCATACACACATTCACACACTGCTGGGGATGAGCTACGATGTAGCCACAGCTGCCCTGGGGCGCACTGACAGAGGCGAGGCTGCCGAGCACTGGCGCCACCGGTCCCTCCGACCACCACCAGCAGGCAATGTGGGTTAAGTGTCTTGCCCAAAGACACAACAACAGCAACAGACTGAGCGGGGCTCTAACCTGCAACCCTCCGATTACGGGGTGAGCACTTAACTCATGTGCCACCGTCGCCCCATATGGTAACATATGGTAACACGGAGGGAGTAGAACATAAGATAAATACAACAGTAGGCCATCCAACTTGTTTCAGAAAGCTTCAAATCAGGTTTCCAAGAATCTTTCTAAAACAAATACTCTGTCCTTTTTTTCTTGAAATTCAAAAAAAAAGAGAAAAAAAAGAACATCAAAGCAAGCTTCTGTGTTCCAGCCACAGTCAAAGTTCCTCAGTGCCTTCAGATGCCTTGGGGGAGTCCCTGGGTCTTTCAGCAGGATTTGGGTGTTTTTGTTTTTTTTTTTTTGGTTAGCCTTCCTAGTTTTGAAACCAATGAAGACAAGTCTTACACCCACCAATGGTGTCATCAATAATAAGAGAAGGTGAGGTGGAATTAAAGGGACAGACGAAACCACACTGGTGGAAGATGTGCCGTGACACTCCAGGAATCTGTTATTTGACAACTTCCTCTCTCTCATGTGAGAATCTGTCAGAGGACAGGAGACAGATTGCAAGGACACTGCCACCTCTTTTCATGTCCAGTCCTCCGGGTTTCATCAGGGAGGTGTGATTGAGGGTACGGAGAGTGGCAGAAACACTGGAGGATATCAGGTTCTAAACACCGCTGAATATTTCATTCTTTACAAAATGCAGTTAGTCCTCTTCTTCCACGTACGTTGAGGGAAACCAGCCCACCTGAGAGGAACAATTAGGTGGAACAACGTTAAATTTCTGCAAAAATAACATTTTCTGCCACCGTCGCCACAACTTGTCTTGAACGATCAAAATGTGATTAATCAATATTAATTAATTACAATGCCTCTAATTAATTAGCTTTTAATCAAGTCCGACCCAAAAAAATTAAAAAACAACTTTCCATTAAAAATTCTACTTGTCAATATCCTTTAGTTTAATCATTCTTAACTCCAAAACCCATTGTTTCATATTTATCAGCACCTTTGTTTCCCATAATAACCAACACTAATAGACTTGTGTTCCTAATTAGTAAAATTGTGTTACACCTACCCTGCCATCAACTTCTCCCTTCCACCACCCATTGGGCATCTTGGTGTAGATCCGGATGATGTCTCCCTTCTGTAGAGTGAGCTCCTGAATATCTTTGGAGCAGAAGTCATAACGTGCCACTGCGACCCCCACCACTCTAGGAGAAAACACTGAGAACGAGCAAAAGCTTTGGTTTAGTTCTGGGACCCATTCACAAAATATACTAGAACATTTTTTAAATTAAGATGCAGTTTCATGCAAAAATTCAATCAGTCTACTTTGCACGTTTGTGTCATCAGATGCAATGATTTCTTGTATTAGAAATAATAAAGGCAATAACATAAAAGCAACACGTGTGCCAAAGGAATGCTGTGTGTTTGTCAGGTTTTGTTGCACTTAAAAAGTGTAAAATGCTGTTAATGCAGCTTGAGTCATGCAGCACATGGATGCAAAATAAAAGTAACAAAGAGTTTCACGAGAAACTGTGGAAAAGAAATCCGACGTCCACCCTATTGGACCTGATGGTTCAAAAGTGAAAATTCATTCTAAAGTCAGTCCACGTGATGCATCCTAACTTATCAGGCTATGCAAGATTATTCCTACACATGCGGGTCAAGGCTCGTATCACATGTGAACACAAGTGTGGAGAGGTTTGCTTGCTTTATCTGCAAAAATACACATGGCACAACTGTGAAGATATGCTGCATGAAAGCAGCAGATTTACACCCACATGCTCACAAAGTCACATCATACCAAGAAAAAGGCTCCAGCCCACAAATGCATGCATGCATATACAATATGTGTGTACACAAGGCAACAAAAATAAACTATATCTAATCTATTAACACACATGCCATGCAAGCAAAACAAAAGCAGGGGAAACCTCCCAGTTTCTCACTTTTACTAATATTTTCAAGATATTCTCTGCTTTTAAGTTGGCTTTATTCTCAATTTTTATTGTAACTTGTTCTAACCGTGCACAAAAGAGCAAGCTCAAGTGTCTTTGTTGCCTTTTCTAATGTGTTTGTTGCAACTTTCTGTTGTTACTGTGTGTGCAACAAAATTTAGAGGTGTCAGAAGAATGCAGAATGACCAATTTATCATTCCAAAAAAGGGGGTCTTTAATGTGTTTAGGTGTGACTTAATTGAATCATCACAAGATTGCACACGTTAACAAAGATGTAGAAATGAAGACTGTTTATGTGGTGAAACCCAGAAAAAATGTGAACAGAGCAAACGAGAGACAAAGAGAGGAGAAAAGCTGCACCTGTACCTGACCAGAAAGGCGAGAAGGAGGGAGGAACAAAGCTGCAGCCGCCAACAGGAACTACAGAGAAACAGAGCAAGTGATGGAGGAGTGGGGGTGGAAGAGGGAGGAGAAAGGAGGAGGGGGGTTCAGGCCATAGTGGGAGCAAAGAGAGAACATAAGCAAAGTAAATAAGAGAGTGTGTGTGCAGGTAAAGGAAAGAGAAAAGTTGTCAGAGTCAATAAACAAGGAAAAGAGAACTGGTGAAGAGAGCTGAGTGAGAGAAAGGAGGGCAAAAACAGAAAAAACATCCAACAAATGGTCTTCTCACCTGGTAAATCAACACAAATCCACCAGTCATCAATCTTTTAATTGCTCATTTGTGTTTTTCACTTCATGACAACAGCCAAAAACTTTCACAAACTTTTGTTTTCCTTTAAGATTTTGGGAAGTAATTTTTGTGTTTCCTTCCTCAACGAGCGCAACAACTTTTATGCTCGTTTTGAGCGAGGGAACCTCACAAACACAACCATAACAGACATGACGCCAGACCACCAACCTCTGACTCTCTCCCCCACCGATGTACGAGCGGTGCTGAGCAGGATCAATGTCCACAAGGCTGCAGGCCCTGATGGCATCCCTGGGCGTGTTCTCAGAGCGTGCTCTGGGGAGCTCGCAGGAGTGCTCACAGACATATTCAACCTGTCCTTGGCCCATGCTGTGGTACCGGAATCCACCTCCATTGTCCCGATACCCAAAAACTCCAACCCATCTAGCCTCAATGACTACCGCCCGGTAGCACTCACCCCCATCACTAAGTGCTTAGAGCAGCTGGTCTTATCACACTTCAAATCCAGTCTCCCCCCAGCCCCCACCCTGGACCCCTACCAATTTGCATACTGCCAGAACAGGAGCACAGAGGATGCAGTCTCCATTGCACTGCACTCTGTCCTCTCACACTTGGACAACACCAACACCTATGCCAGAATGCTGTTTATAGACTTCAGTTCAGCATTCAATACAATCCACCCCTCACAACTCATCAGGAAAATGACAGACCTGGGGATCAGTTCCCTCACCTGCAAATGGTTACTGGACTTCCTGACCAACCGCCCTCAACATGTCCGACTGGATAACCGCTGCTCATCAACAATCACAATGAACACTGGTGTACCACAAGGCTGTGTGATGAGCCCTTTCCTCTACTCCCTTTTCACCCATGACTGCAGACCTGCTGATGGTTCCAACACCATCATTAAGTTTGCAGATGACACCACGGTGATTGGCCTCATCAGTGACAACGATGAGACCGCCTACAGGGAGGAGGTGGACCGTCTGACTGAGTGGTGCGACACAAACAACCTGCTGCTCAACACTGAGAAGACTAAGGAGCTCACCGTGGACTACAGGAGGAATGCTGACCCACATCCACCCATCCACATTAAGGGGACGGCAGTGGAGCGTGTGAGCAGCTTCAAGTTCCTGGGAGTCCACATCTCTGACTACCAACTGCTCCAAGCTGGTCAAGAAGGCTCACCAGCGACTCTACTTCTTGAGGACTCTGAGGAAGAACAACCTGTCCTCAGACATCCTGGTGAACTTCTATTGCTGCACCATTGAGAGCATCCTGACCAACTGTATAACAGTCTGGTATGGGAACTGCTCCGCCTCAGACCGGAAGGCATTGCAGAGGGTCGGAAAAACTGCCCAGCGCATCGCCGGAGCACCACTTCCTGCCATAAAGGACATCTACAGGAAGCGGTAACTGAAAAGGGCAGGGAAAATCATCAGAGACCACAGTCACCCATCACATGCACTGATCACCCTGCTGCCCTCTGGGAGGCGCTACAGGAGCCTCCGGACTAAGACCACCAGGTACCGGAACAGTTTCTTCCCACCAGCTGTCAGACTCCTGAACTCTGCCTCCTGACATATGACCCACGTTAAACTCATGGACTGCTTGTATTAACTACAGCCTGTACATACTTATAGTCATAGAATATTCATAACATACTTCATACCGTGTACATTATAACATACGTAATAGATCCATTTCTGTAATATACTTACACATCTACTATATTATTGCTAATATATATTGTAATACATCTATATCACGGCTAAAGCACTTCTGGATGGATGCAAACTGCATTTCGTTGCCCTGTACCTGTACATGTGCAATGACAATAAAGTTGAATTCTAAAAATTCTATTCTAATTTTGAAAGGATTTCAGTTACTGAATAAAAAAAGACAAATCAATATATTGTGAGAATAATAGTTGTAATAGCCAAAACAGCAGGAGAAATAACTGGCTACTTGTTTTTCCTTTCTTTTATTCAGCCATCATACTGGGCTAATATAAGTGCTAATATTCAGCTGGAATCATACTGAATTAGTATTTACAACTGGGATGTCCGATATCATCAGTCTGCCATTATTACCGGCCGATTTTGGCATTAAAATGTAATTTAGAAAAACATTGGTACTCTTTCTTTTAATGACACAACCTTTACATACCATACATATGTTATTCATCAAACTCTTCAGCTCTCTCTCAAAATATGACAGATCTGTGAAGTAAAAATGTGCCCTGTTTAGTGACAATATGCAGTCCTCACAGCACAAAGCTACATGTAGCTAGCAGCTAACAAACAACAAAAACAAGAGTCTTTACCCAAGGTTTGCTTTTCTCATCTGAAGATCTTTATACATGTTTTATCACCAAAATACTAACTAATACGCACAGCGTCACAGGAATGAGATTCAGCTGCGGTTGGAGACAAAATAAATATGGCGCTTTCCTCTTAATAACTTAAATTGAAGTTGTTTTCATTTTGCACAGAGAATGTTTACATTTTAAGCAAGAAAGATGGGAGCTATGTGATGTTAGTAATGTAAAATGGTTTCGTTTTTAATATTTTTACCCTGCAAATATCTGTTTCGGATTATATTGGTATCGGAAATTAGGAATCAGACTATATTGTTTTATCATATATCGACAAAACCGAGCATCCGTACTTCTAACATTTACAATATAAGACCAATTTAAGGGATTAAGTTCTAGATGATGTTTACGTTGCCATTTTAGTGCTGTCTCACATTCCATGCACTCTTCTGCAAAGAAAATACAAAATACATTTGAAGGGGTTTGAGGTGGGTGTACCACCAACTACTACAACCTGACTTTAGTCAGGAGCTGAAGGTATAAACCTTAATATTAAGACACCTTTTTTTAATATGCTGCGATCACATAAAGATCCAAACTCTTTTATTAAATCTCTCCTAGCTCTCTGTAGGTCATGCAACACAACTACCAGCATTACTCGCCTTTCCAGCTTCAGATCAGGTGAGCCAGAACAGCAGCAGGTGGGTAAGCGTGTGTCTGAGCACAGCACGGTGCCCTGACAGGGAGACGTCTCTGGTTCCATGTTACCGAGCCAGCGACGACTGCTCCCACGTAAAAGGTGTGAGCCAGCCGACCTTCACACCCCCTTCTATTAACACAACAATATAGTGCCATTCCTTCCACCTTCTTCCCTACAGGCAGCGGCCAACACATGCCAAGTGTCTGACCAAACTCCGGACAAAACAAACGAAAAGCCAAATTAACCTCCTGAAGCAATTAATCAGCTGCAAGTTGCTGATGCAGATGAATTAAGCACACTGCTTTTGAATCTCACCCATACAGATTTTCAGTTGTTTCCACAATCATTACCGTAAGAAAATAAACCAGAGAATGCTTTTCTTGACAGACATAAAATTATCGTTCCATTGTGAATTATCTTCTGGCACCGGCGTTTGCACACATCCGCGATAAAACACACACAGCCAGACTTAATTAAACATTCTTGTTGGGGATTTTTCAAGCACATTTCTCCTGAGTTCTGATCGCTTTGCAGCAGCGTCTTGTGCACGCTCGCGCAGACTTGCAGCCTTCTTTTCTTCTTTGTCTGTTTTGTGATTCAAAAGCTTTTTTTTCCACCTTCTTTATTTTGCTTTTTTGTGACATCTATCTTTCCACAAAGGCTGTATACCTGACAGAGAATACAATGCCCACACTAGTCTGCTTATGGGGGTGGACGACTTAAGGCAATAATAATCTATCCCAGAATGCACAGAGCCAAGCGGCAGGTTTGTCAAGGCTTCGTGAGGAAAAACTGGTGCAATGAGTGGCAGGAAAACGCAAAAGCACCTCTTACCGAGCTGCTTTGAAGCCGGATGTGCTCGGAGACCGACTCTGCCAAAAGAAGCCGCGCAACGAGAATGCGGCAGAATTTTATATCCAAACAGAAACAAAGGGCTAACTTTGATTTTGTTCCAGCATTCATCTGTTCTGCTCGCCTCGGCTGCAGTTTGTTTACACATACATCTCTCTTTAAGTTAAGACAGTTTACCTTCAGCTGCTTCCTGCTATTCCAGATCAGTCCAGATTTGCAAACTTTTTCTCAGTTTTATGGAGGAAGTCATGGTCCCTCGACTGGACCGGGGTATTCCCCAGGTGTGTGTCAGCAGATGGCTGTCACATGTTGCTTTATTTATCTTTTTGCTGCAGCCAGCCCAAGTGGAATGTCATGTCAGTTCAGTAAAATTGTGAAGCCATCTCAGAGCTAAGCAGAGTGTGGAGTGTGACGTTTTGAAGTAGCAGGCTCCTGGTGCTTGCCTGAGGCACTGAGCCCTAACTGGGACCTCCCTGCCAAGCCTGGTGAGCTGCCGAGACTCTTTTTCATTCCTCTCAGTCGCCGTGTTTCCTGCTCTCTCTATTGTCTTTTTCTCTGTCTCTCCTATTCATACTGGGTTGGTTTTTGCTCTGTTTTGTAGCCACTTAAAACTATTATTACATAGTTAAAAAAAACTTCAGACAACACAACAACTTTAGAATCAACCAATAAATCATAACTGGCCCCACATATTAACTGGTCATGACAGCCTTGGTGGCAACAACTGCAGTTTCTCACATCGCTGCACGTGAAGGAATTTTGTCCCCCTTATTTTTACTATATTGTTTCAATTTATTGGAAGGTTTTACAGTGTGAACATGTTTAAAGGTGCAATTTGTAAGAATGAAATTCACATTTGGTTA